ACTTGTGGCACTCACCTGCGGCATGCTTTTGGCCAGCGAATACCTAAAATCGATATGTAAATGTGCAAAACGAGTTGCCAAACACTCTGGAAAATGTACAAATGCATCTGTGTCGCCGCTTATCAGCTGCGCGGCTGCGCATAATCAACTTCCCAGTGACATTTCGAAATGCACAAGCGTCTGGCAAGTGGTCGCTGCTTGCCACATCGAACGCATTTTTACACACACACACATGCATACACACGGTACAGCAAATTTTTAATCGCCTGTAACACATTCATCATCTCTCGCATGCCATATTTTATGCTATTTCAAGATTTTTTATGCTCGTGCGTACACACAGACATCAAAACATATATGACGCGGCACGCTCTGAAATGTCCCACCAACCTGTCAACCTCATCCATCTGCTGCTCGTGGTTCGTGTTCATCTGTTCAATGTGAACTAGGTTGAATTTGTAGCCAATACTCGCTACTCGTTAGTGATTCGAACTCACACACACACATAAAGGCACATTTTACTGCCGCCACGAATTTCTCTTGCTGATTTTGATCAATGAGCGCAGCGACTGAAGGTGTTGGCAAATGTCACCAACTGATCGTAGATAATTCGGCATATTTTCGTTTTAATTCGCTGATGAAATGGAAGTTTTGCAATATTTGCGATGATTTCATAGCGGGAAATAGGAGCGGGTCTTTTGGAAACAGCAAGAGCGAAGACAAAAGCTGGCGATATTGCTATTGTAAATGGAAAATAAACAATTTAAAGACTTTATATCATCATATACAAATATTTGTAGTACGAGCCTATAAAGCTTCAGAAGAATAAAGGGCAAGCATTCCTCCCGTAACGCGCTATATTTCTGATGGAGGTTAAAGTCTCTAATTCAGAAAAACACAGACTGATCGAGGATCTATTCAATTCGAAGTAAAGTATTCGCGGCCACAATAGCCCCTCGGCAGGGAATGTCACCCCTCCAAGTGTATTTCTGACATGAAATAAAAGCTTCGCATAAAAAACCATTAGACGTTCGAAGGCGGCTTAGTATAAACTGTAGGTGTCCCTCCATTTGTTTTAAAAACATCAAGGCGGAGGAATTTGGCCGAAAATGTCCTTAACGTTTCTCCTTGTCATCTGAACAGCAAAGCTCGTGGATGCTTGTCACGTATTTTAGATAAGTCTTCACAGAAACCCCGGCCAGTATCCAATCCTTGGCTTATGCCTACCTCACTACACTTTCGGTTAAGCCCAGCTTGCACTTATGTGACCCACAAAGCCTGTAGCGTTCCTCATGGATTTAGTCTACACTTCACTTGTGTAATATGCTGTTGCTGTGCCTTCTATAAGGTTTTGAAGCCACCGTGCTGCGGAGGGAGATTTAGATTCATTTCAGAATCAACCAAATCTACGTCTTCCCTTGAAATAGTTCACATTTCTTTCAAGAGATGTTAATAAATTATTTTCTCATTTTTATTTTTTTTTTTTACAAAATTAAACAAAGTTCACCACCGTTCATGCTGCAAGACCACAAAGAAAATCGCAAAATGAGCCAAATTCGCGAATATCATTTAAATTAATAGCTCCGAACTTCAATAGTTTGCTGCAGTGAGGTCCCCTTAACAAAAAATTGCACCTTTTTCGCTTTGCCCTCACACACAACACACTGTCTTTTCGCGTGCACTTATTCATGGAAAAACGTCTCGTCGGGCCGTTTCTTTGTCCGCCGGGCGCACCCGACCGCCGCAACACACCCACAGCGCCGCCACTCAACGAGTGTCCGAAACTCATTCATGCATCCATGCAATTGTGAGCCACAAATACACACAGACACACATCCATACACTGACTCACTCAAAAGCAACAGCAAAAAGCAATCGCCAACCAAGTTTCCACATAAAGCGTGAAGCGTGAGTTCAGCGCCGAGGTTAAACACATTGAACCATTCCATACCGTGAGCTCATAAGCAGCCGCGTCGCCGTACGCGAACGACAGACTGTACTCTCCTTAAGCCTTAATGATAGCCGCACAATTTCCCAGGCTATTTTGGACAGAAAACGATGTTGGGAAAATGTTTACCTAGAACCAAAGGCGAACGGGAGTTTAGCCGGCATAAGTGGGAACTTCAGTGCAGGAGCAAATATCTCTTTTTTCGTTTCTTCACTTTTTTGCCACAATTTTATTTGTGTTGCCCATGCCATTCACCAATCTTTTGAGCTAACAATTGTTGCAATATTCACCGCATTCGCTTTTTGACTACTGCCAACTTGCCACAATTCTAGCTTTGCAATAACAAAACTCAGCTGGACAACGCATATTGATAGGGGCTCAAAGTTTGAGCAGCTCAGCAACGCACTTCGGCTGGTGCCGAAAACACAGCAAATGCTTACTTCCTTTGCGTGTGGCGCGGTGCGAGGCGCGAGGTGCGAGGTGCGAGGGTTTTCAGCAAAACTCTCAGACCCATCAGCCCAACAGCCCATTAGCAGAGACAGCGCTTGGGTGTTACTTGCGATCGTTGTTTTATCAGTGTTGTATCCGTCTTTACATCGCTTTTAATTGCCTCTTTTGGTGCAGGGCTTTTTATCAAATGCGAAATCGGACAATGCAGCAAAGTGGCCAGGTATTGCGTGCAACAAACGGCATAAATTCAATTAAATTTCGCAGTCGCTAATTTGTCTGGATCTTCTTGGAAGTCGTAACTAATTAAAAGTGCGCTAATGAAGATGAGAGGATAGGAGAAAATGAGCCACGACGCAATGAAGAAAACTCCTATGCACAAAAAAAGTTTCTCATCGAAATATACGTATATATATATATATATATATATATATATATACTTTTATGTCATAATTTTTTTTTTATAAAACAGAAATAATTTTAGTCTCATTTTTCGTGGGACATACATTGCAAAACTGTTCAGCTTAAAATAGATTTCATAACTTTTCGGTTGATGACAAACATAACGGTTTTGCCAATTTTGCATAATCGCCAAGACAAAAACTCCCACGCCGCTTCGACATTCGCGGCTTTCCTACGAGGTTTTCATCTTTAACGATTCTCTGCGGAATGACAACTCATTTAACGGTGTCGTTGTTTCTGTTGAGTGGAATACCTGCGAAAAGTGTTGGCTCCGCTGTAATAATAAAATAATAAAATAATAAAAATGTTGTAACTTTCGTTAGTAATGCTACATAATAATTATTTTACGCTCTTGCGAGAAACAAACGGTACTTACTGCTGTAAATTCAAAATGCATTACAAACTGCTTTTCCTCTGTCGCTAAATGAGCGAATAAAATTAGCTAATGCGAATTTCGCACTTTTTCGCATTAAAAAAGCAACTACAACAAATTACATGTGAAAAGGGGCCTCTTCATTTATGTTGCATTGCTTTGTTGTTGTTGACATGATAATTGGAAGTTAACTTGGCAGTTGAACGACATTCAAAATTTAACGCGCACACACACACACACACACACACGAGCGCACATGCATAAATGCAGCTTTGTGAAAGCAGACGTAATATAAAACAGCAACAACAACAATACTAGCGATGACAGAAATATTTGTTTTGTTGTTATTGTTGTTGTTGTTGTTGCCAACTGCATCGGCTGACAAATGATTTTGACATTGCGCCAATTGGGTTCAACGATGCGAATGCATGCATTCCAGTGGCAGCAACAGCAAAACAACAATAACAACAAAAGCGAAACATTCATAACTGAAATGAAAACACAACAATAGCAAGAAAAAAGTTCACTACATTAAACGGTGAAGTCAAGTTATGTGGCAACAAGTGCATAATTTAAGTTTAATAAAGCACTATTACAACAACAGCAGAAACTTAAAAAAAAAAATTATTCAAAAGCGTTGGCAGTGATTTAGTCAAGCTACGTTTTGTTGTTGTTGTTGTTGTTTGATATTCACATGCAAACAATTATTTACAATACATACGAGTATATGTATTTTAGTCCACTCACAATCGAAATCATTACTACACCAACAATGCAAGTTCAGTAACCGTTCCCAGGCGTCCAACCATCCGCCTGTCTGTCTGTCTGTCTTTCTCACCGTGTGGGCGACTCCATCATCTCCGGGCGCTCATCCTCTTCAATGCAAGGCATGCAGCACACAGCCTGCGGGTCATCGTGATGTCACAATGCCATTGACGGCACTATTAATATCGTTAGACGTGCAGATGTAAAATGGAAAAATTAAGTTATTCAAAAAAAAATTATGATTTTTATATGATTTTGAATGTGTAATTTTGATACCCCAAAAATTTTGAATGTCTTGCTTGAAAAGCTACTTCAAACAAAGCAACAAACAAAATAGACGATCGTTAACTCGCTTTATCGCTGCGCCAACAGCAGAGGCCAAAAGCCTCTAGCATCCGAGTCTCTAACTACTCAAGCCTAATTCATTAACAAACCGTAATGAAAAGCGAAAGTTTCTCACTTACTCGCGCACCTGATCAGTGGCGTGCAAAATATTCGCTTGCATTTTTGGACATTTTTTGTTTTTCATCCTCTGCTTCTTCTTCGTTTTTTGAGTGCCCCAAAACCACTTGTAACTGTGACTTTAGTGTCGCTTCAGTGAATTCACATCTGCATATCTGTGCACACAAAAAATATAAAATAAATTAAACTACAATCGATTTAATTAAGTAGACGCTGAAGTATGGCGGAACGACGAAGAGCGAAGAAGATGCGCCTCCGATTTAATCGCGTGCGATCAGTTATGTGGTCAGGCGCCTAGAGACAAGTTATTTGATTTTTTCATTAACCAAAAAATGCCGAAAAAATATCATTACATAAATATTAGCAAAAATCTTGCACTTTCATTTGTTGTGTGGCAAGATGGGTTGGGGAATTCGCCGCGTTTTAATTGGTTTGGAAGAAATGAGCCAACATAAGCATGTCTTCATTAGCCAGAGATAAACTAGCAAAAACAAAAATAAATTTACTAACTCGAATTAATCATTTTCTTCTTCATCTCTTCAGGTCCTCCGCAAAGTCGCAGTTATTGTGTATACCGCTTTGGACTACAATCTGGCAGCGGATGAACAGTGTCAAATGTCACATGAACTGGAAGAGTTGATCACATACATGACAGCTGAAGGTAAATATTACACTATTTTTAAATCCGGATAGTCATCGTTAGAAATTTATAAAAGCTGAGAGACAATTTTTTCTGCTGACCCAAAAATCTCAGTTTAACTCTACTCTAACTTATTCCAAACTGGTATTGAAGGACCTATTTAATCTAAGCTGAAACAAGTAAGCAACTACTTCTAAACTATTTTTTGAATAGTTCCAAACTACTCTTAAACAAGTATCAAACTATTAATAGCTCAACCAGTAATTAAAAATTAGTACAGAAATGATCCTGATCTCCGCATTGAACTACTTACATCCTGGAACTAATTTCATAAACTTCGAAAATAAGTTTATTTGCATAAATTATTTCTTGCAAGGACAGACAGAGCGTGCAATCTTAAATTTTGCTTTACTTGCTTTATTTTATTTTTTATTTTATTTTATTTTATTTTATTTTATTTTATTTTATTTTATTTTGTTTTATTTTATTTTATTTTATTTTATGTTATTTTAATTTATGTTCTTTTACTTTATTTTATCTTTTTCTATTTTATTTTATTTTATTTTATTTTATTTTATTTTATTTTATTTTATTTTATTTTATTTTGTGTTTTATTTATTTATATTTTAATTTGTACCGTTTTACTTACTTCTCTTTCAACAAGCGCAATGTTCGACAATATGAATTAGAATATTTACTGATTCTTTTTTATTAAATTTACTTTCCGTTATTTTTTTATTATTCTTGCATTCGTTTTTTATAATAATTCCTTCGATTTTTCTGCGGGTCTCATTTTTTTTATTTTGTATGTCGCTTATGTTGTAAATTTTGGTTTTAGCGGAAAGCCGCAAACGTCACGTCATCACCATCTGACGGTTATCTTTGATTTGCAATCTGCGGTCTCTCATTAGGATCAACAATCAGGGTTTTGTAACTCAGTCTCAATTATCAAACTGCATATCATTTCCTCATGTTGCCTGTTGGCCGACCATACATATACACTATAAAAAGGCCAGTCTGATTTTTCAAGGACAAGTAGGACTGGGCGAGTAATTGCATCTCAAACTGGCATGGCGAGAGTTCTGATCGTTTTGTTTATCTTTGGTTATCGGCGGTTTTTTGCGAATGAATTACACAAAATCTTTTGTTCATTATTTTTCTGGTTAACATTTATATATTTCAGCTCTAGATACAATAATTTTCAGAATTCAAATATATTTAATTTTCGCTATTATTACTTTTCAGAAAACGATGATGACTGCATCGATGAGGGCATTGATGAGGGCCACCAACGTTGGGATGACGAAGGCGATGATGAGAAATGGAGTGAAACCAAAGAATTTGATTTTGTGCTTGAGGTAAGTTGAGCATATTAAAGAAGTAAAAGAATTTTTATTAAATAATTATCGCAATTACTTAGAGTAGTAGTCTGACTTGGAGCACTGAGTTCAGCCACTAAATGCGACTGTGTTTCGCGAACACGCGCTTTCGTCGCCACTAAGTTTCCATCAACTGCAAATCACTCTTTCATTTGATTCCCACACTTTTTGTGAGACAAATTTTTCAATTACAAGCCACATTAAATGTACATAATTGCTGAACCGTTATAGTTTTTAATGCCCTTGTTATCGTTGCCATAACTCGCTGTCCCGCGTATGCTGCAATATCTGTTGTTTTGATGCGGAGCGTTTTGTTAAGTGGCAATATCGAGTGTCCATTGTGTGTGGCAGATTAAGGTGTGCCGAGAGTGGCTTGAATTAATTTCATTATTTATTATTTCATTTTATTTTCCTTTTCTTTTTTATGGTTATTGCCGCTCTTGGACAATTGCACTGTTTCCAGATTGACAATCAGATTATGAAATTTCTGGGCCAGTAGGACAGTTATAGGGCACAACGGCAGCAATATTTTATGATGCAAGAATTTTTTGTATTGCTTTTTGTAAGCTTTTTGGAAAAAAATAACTAAAAAAAAATTGACACACCTAAAGAAATAAAAATATGCAATAAAGATTAAGTAACATATTTTTTGAACGGGGACAGATTTTGTAAATTTGTATGTATAAAAAATGTAAAATAAGAATTTTTGAGAAGAGTTCCAATTTTTAATACCGAAAAAAAGGATGAAAGCTGTTGGTGTAGCCCATCATTTAGCGCAATATAAAGAGTTATAAAAATTGCTTAAAAAAATGTAAGAAATAAATAGAATATTTCTTTAATATTCTAACTCCACTTTTCGCACTTCGCTGTAGAGTTACAAATTTCAAATATGGACTTATGTGCTTCATTCCGCCAAATATGGGCATATGAGCGTTTCTTGCCACCCATCAAGCGTTGAACGCTTGCATAAATACGCACACACCTGAGTCACACAAACAGATTCCACTTACACACACGCACACACAAACGCAGCCATGCATCGGGTCTCCATGTTTCACTGACAACAATGGGTCAATAAAATACGTCAGCTGTCAGTGCGTTATAAACAAATGGCCAATATTCTAATGCCTGCCACAAGTGGCGAGCAGAAACGGGGCGAAGAGAGAGAACGCAATGCATTTGTCGACCAGATCATAAAACCGTCGTGGCTCAAGCTTACCTCAGGTTCGGTGGCGTCTAGTCGCTGTGGCTATTGGCGTGGCTGCTTTTATTGTTGTTGGTTTTACTCTAGCTGCAGCTTTTGTTATTGCTTCTGCACTTGCGACGAGCAAAGAAGCAACCAAGCTTAGCTGGCATTCAGCGAGCCAAATCGTTCGACATGTGCAACAAAACATGTGCCACATACATGCAAACATGCACAAGCACGGTAATAGAAAACGTGCAACATGCCACCACAAGCAGCAACATGCCACAAAAGGCGGTTAGAAATGACCACCAACGTACACGGGTATCGTTAACACACAAACAAATGAACGCGCGTAGATGTGTTGGTGAGTGCAATAACACCAAAGCATTTGTTGCTGCAACAAAATTATGCAAACACGCTGACATCAATGCAACATTTTTCCATTTTCATTTTGGCAGCCTTTTTGCCTCGTTTTTTCTTTAGAATAGAAGAACGATACATTCACCCATACATACTTATGGTGATTTGTATGCATTTGCTTACAGCTTACTACCAGGCGAAATTCTCGTTGAAAAGCTGCCAACAAAGGTGAAAGGTGTTGACGATAAAAAAAAGCATCGAGAACCTGTGTTGTCTACTTTTTTGTTGTTTGTCCGAAAAACTGCAGTCAAATAAACATTGGCACACTTTTTTGGCAGAATCCACTCGTTTCGCTACTTTTTCATACACATAATAACTAGTTGCGGATTACGAGTGGCCTAATCAGAGCCGCATTGTTTTTTATATACGTGTATGCATGTATGCATGTACTCATATGTATATATTTATATCGAAGTAAATGCCAAGTATCAGGTGGCAAGAAAAAGTTCGTTCTTAAGTAGCAATTGTTTAAAGTTCTAAATTACAACAACAAATCCGCTTGAATATAACTAAAAAAATAATAATAATAATAGAAAACACCGAAGGATAATTGTGATTGTATTGACGTGGTATCTACACATTTGATTTCATCTCCACAAGCTGAATAAAGTGGAATCGGCTGAGTCCAGAGTATGCCCAGAAGTTGACGCTGTCCTTTAGTCAATTCAGATGCCACCTCTTTTACGGTGCCACCACATCTAAAATTACGGGGATGGGCACAAATGACTGGAAGGAATTAAATAAGTTTATTAAATCGCGCGAAACATTCTCTAAAGTAAAACTGGGTTAAGCGGAGAAGCACATTGAGCTAATCTATGGCTTGGTTGCACCCGTTTGCGGTCAGGTGCTCAACCTCTCCTGTATTTTTGAACCTTTTTAGATTTTAGAGAATCATAATTTAATGTTAACTGACACATTTTGCATAATATTTAATAAATTTAAAACAGATTTCGATTAATTGCTTGAGTCGATTTCAATCTTTTTCAATAGAAAAAAATTATTTTGCTTCTATTTTTACATAACCTCTAGCATTACTTATAATACAATACATACATCTATATTAATAAATATTCCATGCAAACACACCAACAACGTATCTCGCTATTTTTCTTAACAATTTAACGGTAATAAATATTTCAAATACCCAATGCTGCTAATAACTCGCCATATTAATAACCAGTGCGAGACATAATCCGCTTGTTGAACAACAACAACAACAAAAACGACCACAACAACGATACAATGCAATATTTGCGGCTAAACAACTGACTGTACGAGATGCCACAAAACCAACAATGCACACACATGCACACACATGCACACACACACTTACCCTCCAGTGAAAGATACTTGTTGTAAGCGAGAATGCTACTGGTTTGTCTTTTTCACTATCTGGTGCATCTTCGATCATATGGTCATGTTAGCAGCTAGCATTTTCGAAGCGGCGATTTTACGAAGTGTAATTTGTCATAATATGTATCAGCTTCATACTAGTTAAATACTAGTTGGGCCTCAAATTCTGTTGCTAGAATTCGGCAGTTTAGCCGATTACAGCAGCACGTGGCACAGTGAATAACAGGGATGCCATCCAACGGCGGCACTTGAAAAGTTCGCTAGAAACTTCGGGAATGGCTCGGCATGCAAGGATTATAAAGATTTTTGAGTTACGTTTAAGAAGGGCGCCGGAATCCATTGCGCAAAGCTGCTGAGAGAGCTAGCAAGGCAGAAAACTATAAAAATGTCAACGTCTATGTCGACAATCAGTAAATGAAGCAATAATCCCAAATCGTTTTGAGGCAAAAAATGTTCTATCAGAACAGTCGCTGAAGACTATTTATAATGAAATATTCAAAAGAGCTGGGTGCCGGTTAAGAGTGCGATGGAACGCAGCGACATATAAAACCACTCGTTCACGTAAGAACGGCAGGACAGTTTTTGGCCTAATGACGGATAACAGCCTGCTGCCATCATATGAAAGCAGCTTGGGCATTACTAGCGGTGACTAGTAATGCAAGTAGAATGGCATGACTGAGACGTTGGAACAATTCTTCTGTTTCTGTGCGACCTTAGCTAAAGCCCCTCTCATATATCTTGGAGCTTCGCAGCTCAAATAACTAGAAGAGGCTCCGAATTCGAATATTAGGGCTCTATGAAATTTCGGGTACAGCGACTACTTGAGGTCGTAATAAAACGGACCTTCCTCTGGCACTACAAAGCACCAGTGTAACCTAACATAACCTGACGTGGTTATGGTTATTATTATTAGTATTACTGGCGAGCAAGTCCATATTTGCAAACAAATAGCGAACTGCTATAATTTCCTCTTTAAAGTACTAGTTCACAATGAGACCTTTTTGGCACTACTCCAGCTATTCACTGTAGTGTCACACACTCATATGTACATATCTACAAAGTAAGTATATTTATTTATGTGCTTATAGTATCTAGCGGATATAACAAAACGGCAGCTATAATACTACATCCCAGATATCAAATCTCCACAAACAAGGTTGCATAACCCACTCGCTGGCATTAGCTGCTTTTCCGCCGCTACTACTCGCTGCTCTACACCTTCACCACAAAATGATAATAATAATTTTCACATGCAAATGAATATTGAGAATTGTTTGTTTCTGGTTTTCCCCTCCATTCTTGGCGTTATTAGGGTGTGTGTGTGTGTGCTTGCGTTTGTGTGTGAGTGGGGCAAGTGCGACAAATTGCAACTAGTTAACAGGCAACAGTTGGTTGCGGCACAAAAACTGCGCTGCGAGTGCGGGAAAGAACGCTGAGGCTGACATTGAAGCGTGTGATATTCTCGTTAGAATGTGATCAAAGTATCGGTGTCGGCGAGGGCCCCGGCTGCAGGTGATCAGCGGAGTAAACACAAAGTTATTGCGAAGTTTATGTGGAGAAATTGTAGCAAAAAAGCGGTGAAGAAAATTTACTATTTCCTCGGCTCAAATGCTATGTGCTTCTATTGCTTGTTGCCTACGACGGTGAAGCGTGACACAAGCGATGACTCAATAACTGTTTGTTAATATTGCGGCTGCCGCTGTTAACGATATGATAAAATAAAAAATGTTTGAAAACTGTAACATTCGATCGGTTTTCACACATAGTTGGCGATTTTCCATAAGTTTTTTCACGCCCAGCTGTTAATTGTCCAGTTGCAAGTTATTGTGTGCGGCTTTTTGCTTTCTTTATTGACCAAAGCATCGGGTAACCCACTGTGCAACAACAACTTTTCAGTCAGTTAGTTTAGCTCAAGTGTGTGGGTTCTTTTTTTTTAAATTTTGGTGTTTTTTTTATATATTTTTCAAGCGTATCTCTGCTCGCCGCACTTTATGGAGGTTGTAAACAAGCAACTGACACTTGACAGTTAAACGGAGCTCGCTCAAGTGCGGCGATATCTGCATACGAGTACATATGTTACATATATTTACATATGTTATATTATATATTTATATATATATTTATTAATATTATGTTATGTTGACTTCACTCTGACGATATGAATTATCTAACTTGTTAGCACTTCGCTTCAATTTTGCTCTCAAATAGCAAATGAAATTTGTGTTGAGTTATTAATTTTTGTTGTATTTTGTTATAATTTTTATTTATCTCGGTTTTTGTGCAGGCCTGCAAATCACATATTAAACCCACTGTACCTGAGGAGCACTATAAAGCGGTCTGCCGTGCGTTGGTCACCGAAGCAATCGAGTTGCGAATATTCCTGCAACAGGTCCTAAATGACGGTGAGTGCTGAAAAGAAATATATTTTTTATTTCATTGAAACATTTTATAAGCACAGATCACAAGCAAAACATAAACCATAATTTTTAGCATACTGACTTAGGTAGGTAGAGTTGATGTCTTCCAGCGACTTGCTTAGGGCCTTAAGGAAGCACCCTGCTCACTTAATAAAACTAGTTAATGTAATTAATTAGAAGTCAAGAAAATAATGCCGAGTCTCGACGTCATTTCTATTATATTTCAAGACTCGGCACGTGCCTCACACATTAAATTCCTGCCACTGCCGCGGCCGTGCTGTAGTCAGCTAATCTAGCTGGTTCATCTGCCTCACAGCTATCCTGGATATCTCTGTGTCCTAGAACCAATTATTGCTAGCTCTGCCAGTAGACTAAGGCACTCATTCACTATTCGATGAGCTCTTGAATGATTAGATATCTCTTTGTTTGATCTCTCTTTAATTGCAGCAATCTCTGCCTGTAAGACACTGCACATATGTGGCAAGCAAAAAGGCGATTCTGTGATCCGATTTCGTCAAATAGACACCACCTGCTATTTGATTTTTTAATAGTTGGTAATGTCTGTGTCCTTGTTTGCTTCTCCAACATTGAAGGATGAACTAAAATCTATATCCTTAGAAAATGAAGTTTACTAGGTACGATAGAAAGCCCCTCATTGCAGAATAGTGAAGTCTTCTTTATGAGCAGCAAATTTAGTATGTAAAATATATATTAAAATACTGATTTAAAAATGAAAGTTTTAAGGATTTTATACGAAAAATATTGCCATGTCTGTGTATCTTAAAAATGTAACAAATTTTAAAATATTAATTGAAATTAATTAAAATAGTTTTAAATCCCTTCAAATCTTTATTGTGGATATTCCTCATTAATTTTATTCATAAACATTTCATGTGCTTTCATATTCTGATTTTTAATATCCTTGAATTTATTTTTGTAATAAATTTCCCATTTTCCTTAGGCGCCGATAATCTTCATTTAGATGCCGGCTCGCAAACTTCCAAACAGGAATTGGCAAAACTTGGCTTTAACGATTGGGTGAGTCTATAAAAAGTTTTACTGTTATATTTTAAAAAGAAAAATGCCATAAAATACTTGCGGGACGTGCAAACGATGTATATTCTATACATTCACAGCGAATCTGAGGCAAATGTTGAGTTCTATATTTAAACAGGTTTACTTCAAGACCTTAAGATTCGAGAAAATGGTCAAAAGTTTTTAAAAATATAGCAATGAATGTAATAAACCGTTAAATTAAAGCAAAAAAAATTTACAACAAAAAATAGATTTATATATGTATGTATATGTACTTATATTATATATAAATTACTTTTCAAAATTTAATCCATCAACAAAAATTACATTACATCGATTTGTTTTGTCTGCTAAAATCCAGACACGCCCTCTAAATGCTTAAATGCTAAAATATTACACGCGTACATAAATATATCATAGAGCTATCGTTGTAAAACTTGCACGCTATTTAGGGCTAATTCACAGTGATGATGCCCTTTTAATTGAATTAGCTACAACAAAAAAAAATGAATTCAGTAATATGTTTGTGTGTATGTGTATCATATCCAAAGGTCTATAAGTGATGCGGACCATATGTGATTTCAGCTGCAAAAAGGTGTGTTTGGCTCTATTTTCGTTGGCTTACATAACCTAACAAAATACCATTTATGTATGTTTATATTTACATACATACACACATACATATGCGTACGCGGGGAGCCCTATTATTGTATTGAACTCGAGCACCGCCGCAGAATTTCAGCTGCGCAGCAATATTTTATTGTCACGTGCCTCAAAAAGTTAAAGAGAGCAAAATTATATACATCCATGGATACATACACGTACATATTCAAATTGGATGACACACCTGAATAGAGTTTTCCTCTTTCTTTTAATCCAGAAGGGGCGTCGTTTTCTCTAATTTAAATTTGGAAAAAAAAAAAAACAAATAATAAAGAAATTGATTTTTAATTAATTTCTTTCATTTCAAACACCAAGAATAATTAATTAAAATCCATTTTGTAACTTTAATGTAATTTTTCAGCAACAATGTTGGGTTATGTGTGTATGTATTCACAAGCATAACTTACATACATACGTGTATGAATGTATGTACGTACGAGTACGGAGCGGCGAAATCGACACTTACACCTTATTGCCCTCCCTAATGGTTCTCATTAAACTTTTCGTAATCTCATTAACCACTCGTTGAGTATGTAAAAACTAGTTTGATTATGAAACGAGCTCGCAGACTTTCTTTTCTAATAACAATTTTTAGCAATCCACTTTGTTTAACAACTGCAAGTGAAAATAATCAAGTTGCAAATATTTTCCTCATACATATTTACATATATATGTTCCAAGATTTGCATGTTTACATTAAAAATAAGGTTATGTCACCAGAAAACAAAATGATTGACCAAAAGCTCGTCCGTCAAGGTCTGTCTAACTACTCAAAAGTGTCATATTTAGAATCGAAATCCACGCAACTTGGAAAATGGAATCCAAGTTTCAAATATTCACAGTATGCATGAAATCTTTCATTACGATTAAGCTTTGCAGATCTACTGCAGATCTTGATGGAAAACTTATTTCATTTCAAGTATGCTTTTTTGGTACTGACTTTTTTATAAGCACCAATAATTGAAGTAAGCGCGAAACTCAACGCTGATACTCGACTCCCCTCTGTTATAACAGTTGTTGATCAGCTTCTTTCAACGTCCCCTCTGCAAGAGGTCGAAGGATGATCTAACTGATCATTCAAAACTTTATGTGGAGAAGAGCCTCTACAAGAAAATTAATGAAATTGCCGTATTTTTTAAACGGTCTCGTTTTCCATGGGACTTAACTTTCATATAAACGTACAATTATATAACTCGGTTTCTTTATTAAGCAACTTTCTTTGCTTTATTTTCTGAACTCAAATTCAACTACTTTTCATTTCGCCCCTGCAAACCAAAATGACATTTGTAATTTAATTATGTACTTATGGGTGAATGTTCACCAACTGTCAATTCGCATATGACAAATGATGTACGATCAGGCCGACAAAGCTCGATTAGCTTTTGTAATGAAAGAAAAAACGAAGAACGAAAGTAATGAGAGAGGTGACGCGTTTTGAATTTTTTTTCGTTTATTTTGTATGTGAAAGTGCTCCTGATAATTTGTTAATCATTTCGTGAGACTAAAATACAAACAAAAAAGATCGAAATGTCTATTAATGCCCGATAAGTAGTTTTACGGTTAGTCCTAGCGTTATATTAACACTAACAATAATAAAAATTTGTAATTCATATATTACGAGGTAATATTTCGGACCTTTCCTTAATAAAATTTAGGCTTTTGTTTCGCGCATAAAGTCCAATTCCAGCTCGCCTCCTACTACCAGAGAGATCAATTCTTTATTTATATAAATTTTATCTTATATAAAATATACATACATAGATATATGCAAATATCTTAAATATATGTATTATTCTATCAAATATCCACTATTTTACTCGATAAATTGCAAATATTTCCAAAAAATTGGGAAATCGTTTTCAATAGGCTTCTGGCGAGTGAGTGATTTGGAGTTGTTGTAATGAATGATAGTGGTTCATTCCTTGCCAATTTCACCAAACACACAACAAAACCTTCTTGGTCATCAATCCTGGCTTGGAGACCATTTGGATTGGCTCACTGCCCTTCGACCACGCCCGTTTTGGTTTGATATTGCCGTAAGTGATCCACCTCTCATTACTAATCTACCATCCACTACAGAAATGGCTAGATTTTGTTACGATTCAGGAGCGATTCGCAGAGATGTTTGATTCAAAGCTGTGTTTAATGCAATGTTTAGCTCCTTGGCCATCGAAACACGGTTTGCTTGACAGCCAAACTTGACCTTTTTCATTATATGGTTGATAGTTTCGTCAAATTGGGCTTTCACATCGTGTATCGTCCTTTACAACGAACCAAAATTGTGCATGATTGACTGTTATAATACCAGATCCACCGTTCTCGTTTTCCCTTTGCTGGTGTCCATCTTTGACATTCGCTCAGACACTACTAAGTTATGTGATCAATGTCTTTTTAGTACAAGAAATCATCTTTCTAACGCCATGAGATACAGATAGCTATAAGGCCAACTATTGCAAAGATAATAAATTACTTTTTACTAGACCTATATATGTATGTATATATAAAATTGGCGCTTTGTAACCGCTAAAGCGATTTTCGAACTTTATCTCACTACAATTAATTTGCTGGTTTTTCTGTCTTGCATTTCTTCAACTCCCATTCAACGTTTATTTTTCTTATCTTTTTCCATATTGAAGAAAAAAGGGCAACTCTATCTTCACCTCAACCACTCGCACACCCGCACCCTATACTCGCTTTTATCAGACGGCGAGAGAGTCTAACTAGACGTTAAAACGTCACACTAAATTAGAGTTAAACGGCCTTGCCAATGTCATTCCCTGGCGAATAGTATTTGTGAAATTTGTTTGTGCTCTCCAACTTCATAACTTCATTTAGTTGCAATTTTTTATATGCGGCGTCGTGATTTGCCACTCATTTTTCATTGTCTCACCTTGCTTGCGCTTACGTTCAGTGTGTTGGTCTGGAGTATTTCGAAATTAACAAAAATAAACACTTGATATGAGTGTATGTGCACGCACATACTCGTACATATAGACATATAGACATATAGATAGACGTAGATACATTGGTACGTGTCACTAAGTAAAGAGCCATAATTAATTGCGTGCACATTTCTCATTGTTCAATTATTTAGTTAAGTTTTTCATACAAATCTACACCTTCAAAATATATGAATGGCATTTGATTAAATGAGTTTTCAACATTTTTTCATTAGCATTTTTAAATAGCAACCTTGACTCATTGACCATTGAAATTAACGGAAATAAAACTTACTCCACTTCAAAAACAAGACATTTTTTTATTTTATAAGGTGAGCAGATTAGGTTGTTCGAAAGTTAATGGTTCTTTATGCAAGAACGGGACAAGGGCGGAGACAGGGGCGGTGACAGGTAGGTCCTCGTGACATATTTTTTAACGCCAGGGTTAACGCTGATTGACTTCGCGGCGCCCCTGTGGTTGTCTGTAGCACTGGATTCAAGCACAAGAAAATTCATCAAGCAACTTGGCATTCTTCAGATCGTAAAACTCACAACCAGATCGATCATGTTGAGATAGACAGACGAAATCTCTCCGCCTAACAACTACTCGGACCACTACCTTGTAGCTGCAAAAATGCGCATCCGCCTCTGTGCAACAAAGAACGGTAGCTAATAAACACAAAAAAGGTTAGTCTTCGAAAACTACAATCACAACAGACAGCCAAAAGGTTTTCTACTCGACTTGCACTCGTGGTATCTGTGAGAACTCATCAACAACTTGGTATAAGGGAACCGTGTGACAGCAATTCAAGCTCTCTGCCTTATTGGTTTTCGGGAAGGATCCAAAAAAAAAACTGTTAGTACGATGCATACTACGTAGCGTTGCGATCTACCACTACCCGTGCCGAGATTTGTAGAGAAGCGGGACGCACGGACTTGAGAATCTGGCCGACTAGGGTTATGTCCGAAATTTCTGCGAAAAAATACGCTTATTTACAGACGGTTTCAAGACCGCAGCAAACTCTGGTCGGACTCAGAGATATGAGTGAACACTTCTCCAGCCTACTGCATGGCATGAAAATACCATTGAGATAGCGTAGTCAATTCCACAATCGATGAGAGTGGAGCAGACTATGATAAAAGTTTCTCATGATTCCCATCCTGCTATAAGGAAAATATGCGAAATTTCCAAAAACTAATTTTCTCCTAACGGGCTCAAAAATCATTTTCGACACGTCAGCAAAAAAACAGCTGACATTAAAATCTATAACTGTAAATAACACTACTGTTAGTGGCGAAATCTCTTCTTTACATTATATCATTCTTGGCAGAAATATATATTCACAAAAAAATGTTAAAAAGGTCTTAATTAGAGTTGCCAACTCTACTAATTAAAATCGA